CCCCCAAAACCCTGAAACCCCTAAACACTATATAGTAGTTTCCATTTTCTTTTCCATTATCCCTATATAACCCCTATATAACCCTATATTATCCCTACAATCCCTACAACCCTGGGAACCCCCCTAAACCCTTAAACCCCTAAGCTGAGCCTCGGCGCCTGCCTCCACGAGCCACTGAACCGCCGGAAGACGAGCCTGCAGGGACGCCTCCGCGAGATCGTTGGCAACCTCCTGGGGGGGTTTAGGGTTTGGGGGGGCTTAGGGTTTGGGGGGGTTTAAGGTTTGGGGGAGTTTAGGGTTTAGGGTTTGGGGGAGCTTAGGGTTTGGGGGGAGTTTAGAATTTTGGGTCTTTGGGCGTAAGGTTTAGGGTCTAGGGAGTTGGGTATGAGATGCTTAAGATTAGCAAGGATTGGCCTTCATATGGGCCCTTCCTTAGCCTGCTGCTGGGGACTGTGAGGAAATCGTTACATCAGAGCCGCAGGCTTCTGGGCACATGGCACGGAACAAGAGTGGGAACTGAGGAGGAGCGGAGGTACCTAGGAGGAGGGAGTCTAGGTTTTATAGGGCTTAGGGCCACTTATGCTGAGGACGACGGGCCCGACGTTTTACCTGGACCTCCAAAGTAAGCAAAATCATGACCTCGAGCACCTAAAACCAGACAACACAACAATTATTCTACCTACTTTGGGGGTCCAGGTAGGGCTTAAAGGCTGGCATTGTCATCCACGTCTTTCTGCTCTTGAGTTTCTCAAAACAGTCCCTATGGAAGGTACGACGGTGCGCCTGTCTTGAATACTCCCGCTTGTCTAACTCAACTGCTGGTCCTGCGCAACAGACTGCTGGTTCCTCAGCGGAAGTAAAAGCAACTGGACATCAGCCGGCGCTGTCAGTTCGGTGTAGTCTTCCAAGGTACTCCCATCGCGCCTTCATTTTCATCATTACTTACCAGCAGCAGCAGCAGCAGCAGCAGCGGCTGCAGCATCATCGTCAGCATCGTCAGCATGCGTGATGTCAATATTTTGACTTTGGTATACTAACATAAAACTCTAACAGGGCTTACCACATACCGACGACAATAGCCTTTAGCACTCGAATGATGGTATACATTTGATGATTCTGGGTATTTGGAGTCCACATAAGTTGACCTTAGTCCCCTTCACCCCCGACACCCTGAGCCCCAGGGCTTGGGGCTTATAGCATTTGAGGCATAGTGCTTTAAGTTTGCGCCTAGGATCGAGGGTTTAGGATTTAGGGTTTAGATTTTAGAGTGAAAGGCTGAGTGTTTGGGAGTTTGAAGGTTTGTCGTGAGGATTCTATACGGGGTTGGCTTTGCAAAGCTACCACACTTTTCTGAAAAAGGCCCAGATGCAGGAGGCGTTGTACAGAAATTGGATAGCCTTCACAAGTTAGGGATCTGCGTCTGGGTTCAAGGTCAAGGGCAAGTAGAAGTGGGCCGAAAGTGGCCCCGAACCCTAAAGCCGAAACGCTGAACCCTGAACCCTAACCCCAATACATGCACCTTTGTTTTGGGCACTTATACTATCGTTTTTACCGACCCATGAGCCCCAAAAAGGCCTCAACCTCATACCCTAAAGCTCCCCCCAGCGCAAACCCTAAACCCAAACCTTAACCCTCAACTTAAAACCTAAATCCTAAACCGTAAATCCGAAACCTTCAATCCTAAACCCAAAATCCTACACCATAAGCTCCTGAACCCTGAAGCCCTGTAAACCTTGAAAACCTAAACCTAAACCCTAAACCATGAAGCGGAATAGCAGCCTTTCAGCTGCCACAGCCGCCGCTTCAGCGACGCCACGTCGCTCAACTCGGCCTGGGCCCTGGGGCTGTTGATAACTAAACTAGGGTTTAGGGTTTAGGGCTTAGGGTTTAAAGTTTAGGGTTCAGGGTTTAGGGGCTAGCAGAGAATAATGACAACAATGCCTTTTCCGACACTTCGCTAAGGACAGATCCCCTTAAGCAATGGAAAGGCAAATGGAAACTACTATAGTATAATAGGGTATATATTGGGGTATCAGTCCCCCTTAAATAGATAGAATATGGGGTATACGGGATGCACACAACAGAATCACTGAAAATGCCACCAAGCGTCACTGCGTCTAGCTCACTGCCCGAAACTGCATGCCAAACGCGGAGCATCGCAGGCGCGGCATGAAATCGGCAGGATAAGGAAGTTGATGCTTACTCTTTAGATGGCTCCTTTGGGCATATTATAATAAGATCCCCATATACCGCATATTCTATCTACTTAAGGGGGAATATAGAATCTATTTAGTGTTTAGGGTTTAGGATTTAGGGCTGATCTTCATGGAAAAGAAGCCAGTAGATGCATTAGACCGCAAAACCTCCTGACAGCATTCTGTCGCCAAGACCCTCAACCACAAAACCACAGCACTTCGAGGTTGAGGATCCATGTGGTATTAGGGTTTAGGGAGATCCCGGTATAGACCCCTAAACTAAAAACTCTCTTTTTGAAGCCCCAAAGAGGCGGCCTCAATTCATGGAAATCCCCATGCGGATGCTTAGACGTACCCCAACTTGCAGTGAGTCGATTCAGAGAAGGAAGCTGATTCCGTCGATGCAAAAAAGCCGCGCGCAAAACAAGTTCGCTAGCGTAGGGGCCTCGGTGCGTAGAGAAGGGGTCCCGTAAAAACGGGGTAGGTTGTTTAGGGTTTAGGCTGGTCCCTTAAAAAGGGGGCATAGAGGTTCACAGGGTTCAGAGTTTTGTCGGGACGTAGAGTTAAGGGTCCAAGCTTTAGGGGATTATGTACAAATAGTACTAGAACAGTGGAGAATCAGATGGACAGGCAAATTAACATGACATGAAAACCCTAAACCGTAAGCCCTGAACCCTAAGCTCGAGTTTAGAGCAAGGGGCTGGGCAGCAATTTCAAACCAAAGCTCAGAACAGGGAATGCTCTGATAAATAGGATGCTTTATGGCCGCCACAAATGGACACACC